TTTGAAATGCTCATGTCGGTCTGCATTCTTGGTCCAAACCCTGTGTTTTTGTTATTTTATATTGTGTTTCTGCAACGGTTGTAAATTTCTCATTCAGCATTCCGCGTGTGAGACAAGCCTTCCTGCAGCGATCGACTGAACCATCCATAACTCCTTGTTGATTTTTACCCTGCAGGACATGTTCGACATGAAAATAATGGAGAAATTTAGATGCACCCGAAGTTATCAGATATGACATTTAGAAAATAACACAGCGTTTAAGAAACAAAGGCTGATGAGATTCACAGCATGTGCGGCCTGAAGCAGTTATAATGAAAGGTGGAGAATAATCAATGAATAGTTTAGAAGGTTAAATCCACTGCTTTCATTTAAACTTCTTTATAATTAGATGTAGAAAATTGTAAATACACATCCCTGTTTTATTCAGGAGATTCAGCAGCTTTCGCTTCTTGTCTAATTGCTAACAAAAACATAAAAAAGCAGTTTGGTCTCCTTGCTCAAATTTGAAAATGTTGCTTAACTTGTCCTGTTTGGTCATAATGTGATCACATCAAATTGCTTTTGCACATGGTGTGAAGTCAAGGCTATAGAAGAACCAGTTTACATCTAGCTGTGCTGGCGAATCATGGACTCTCAGCTCCCCGCTGCTAAAGCTGTGGTCATGTCAAAGTCACAGCTGTGTATGTCTTTAGTTACAGGCCACCGTGGCACCAGCGCRATGACGGCAGTCGTTATGGACCATTGAGCACCAGTCCCTCATCCACTCGCCCACTTTATGCCACCGCTGTCATTAAACATGTAGACAGAATCACAGGGAGAGCACTCTGCATGATTACTCATTTCACTTGGCAGTTGTGTTTTGACACATGCAAAAACAATCACAGTCATCAACACAGATGTGCCGCTATAAAAGAAAGGTGGAGGATGTCGGGAATTGCAGGGAAAGAAGGAAGGGACTACTTTAATAATGTCTTCACGTCGTCTTAAACACATGATGTGTCTTAAAAATATCTATTTATTCACAGTAGATGTGTCATTGAGAATAATTTCACAAAAACATGAACATTTTTATAAAATTTAGTTTGTTAGTCAATGTTGACAACAATACTGAAGGGTGTTTTTAACAGTTATTGAGTGTAAGAGCATTTTTTAAGGAGTAATGTTATACAGCACCGGTTTGTGAAAACCTTAATGTCGTTTTTTGAGTTTTTAACATCATAGATTTGCTACGTGGTCGACTCCGACACAAGACCTGGGAAAAACTGTAACACTTAGATTTCAAACATGTTTACCCAACATTATTACAGTCAATAGGATATTTATTTTGGGTTTTCTGCTCATCAGCTGAATGAGCCTGATGAACTCCACTAAGGTGAGCAGCGCTGACCAGCAGAGAAGAAGAAAGAAAAGGAGGATGATGGATAATAGCCCAGCTGGTCGAGTCAGCTGCAATTAGTCCGTGTGAAGTCTCTCAATTATACAGGGAAAAGCTGACACAAAGCCACAATGCTGCAGCTGAATCAATACATAATTGTAATAATTATCATCCTGCTGTCATTTGTGGACGTGTCGCCACTTCCAGAAAAGAAGATGGAATTGGATAAACATAGAGGCTTGAATGGCAGAGGGGTGGGGATTTCTCAAGTGAGATGCTTCTAACAAAAGGTATCGTTCATACCTGGTGTGAACCAGGAGGGGTGGGGGGAACTGAATGCTTCCAGAAACTTCATGGAGCAAGTTTTCTGTGCAGCGTGCCAACAGTCAATTTAGAGAGGATGCATGTACGAGTGTACAGAACTCAGAGCTGAACAAGTTTTCACATAATCAGCTGGAGTTTCTGTGTACTCTCCTTTATATTGTAATACATTTAAATAGGTGATGATTATCAGGTGGATGATACTAGGAATTTTGGTATTGATTCAGTACCAAGTAAATACAGGGTAAGTATCATGAATTCTGATACCAATTCTGATTTTGATAGTTGTCATGTTGGTTGAATAATTATGGTTTTTTTTGCCTTTAGTTAGTTGATTTTGATAAAAGGATGAAACAGTATAAAATAATAAAATAATTCCCCTTTTACCCTCCACTCCACACACTTGTTCAAGAAAAAAGTAACTTGTGGAAATTCACAAAAAAGAAGCAACAATGTAATAAAAMTATAAAATAACAATGTCAATAGCACAGCTAAAAAATAACTTCCATTGTATGTTGGTACAGCGTGACTAAGTCAAACACCCCGGAGTGGTGCAAATAAAGTGTAAAGAAAAAAAAGTGATGAGACCCTCACCTGGTTTACTTCATGTCTCACAGGCTGCACTCATTTTATTTTACTTATGGTAAATCCCACTCCTCCTTGTTTCCTGTTTCTGCAGGTGTGCCCCAGGGTTCTGTACTGGGGCCCTTTCTATTCATTATTTACGTGCTCCCTCTTGGTCATATATTCCATTAATTTAATATAAATTTTCACTGTTATGCGGATGACACCCAGCTCTACATTTCCTTCAAGCCCAACCACCTATCTCCCTCTCAGATCTTCTCATGAAGATCAGATCATGGTTTTCATCAAATTTTCTCAAGCTTAACAGTAAGAAAACAAATTTTACTTGTTGGCACAGCCTCCAATTTAACTAAATTCAACAATTTCTCTATCAATATTGATGACTCCCACATTTATCCTTCTTACTGTTTCTTTTGCTTGTCTCACCAACATGGGGAACAGAGCTTTCAGCCACTCTGCTCCACAGTTGTGAGACTCACTTCCTCCAGTCATTAGAAATATATCTTCTTTTATTTAAGCTTCAACTCAAAACACACCTGTTTAAACTGGCTTATGCACTTTAAACTTAGACTTATTGTCTTGCTATATCGTGTTTTCTGATTTGCTAATTTACATTAATTGCTTTATTGATACTTGGGTTTTAGAAAGGTACTCTAAAAT